AGTCAAGGCAACACACAAAACGTAGTATTTAACCGTGCTATATATATATATATATATATATATATATATATATATATATATATATTCACGTAAAATATAGTATTTAACCGTGTTACGCTTGGCGTGTTAAAGATTCTTTCTATTACAAAACGGCTTTTTCGCAGTCGTGCAGCTTTTCAAAAAGACAAGACAATAAATAAAACGTAGTATTCAACCGCGCCATATATATTCACACAAAATTTAGTATTTAACTGTGCTATTCTTGGCATGTTAGAGATTCTTTTTGATACAAAACAGCTTTTCCGCAGTCGTGCAGCTTTTCAGAAAGGCAAGACGACCCACAAAATGTAGTATTCAACCGCGCTATATATATTCATACAAATGTAGTATTTAACGGCGCTATGCTATGTATGTCCCTATATATAGTCACATACTCGAAATATAAAACACACTCACATACTCAAACCTTAAATACATAAAACACACTCACATACTCAAACCTTAAATACATAAAACACACTCACATACTCAAATCCTAAACTATGGATGCCTCTTCCTCTACCAAACGAGCCCTATCTTGCTCTTCTAATAGCAATAATGCCCTATCTTACTCTTCTACTAGTAGTGATAATGAAGAAGAGAATCCTCCAATATTTGAAGTGGTTATGGCTGATTCATGCATCGATGTCAATGATCTGGTAAATTATTATGTCCATTAAACTTTATTTTTTAACATAAAATACTTTTGTTTCTTATACCTTAACTGCAGAAAAAAATATATATATATATATATACATCAGTATTATATATCTTTATTCAGTTTCATATTTTCTGAAACTTAATAGTAATATTTTCTTAAAAGTAGATTCCAAAAATATCTACAAGCATCTTCCTCCAACATTAGAATATACGTCTTTTCACCATCGTGGCAAAGAGTGGTATGTAAATATGCGCATTGGTGATCAAAGAAGGTTCAAGGTAGGCTGGAGAAGTTTTGTGTTGGAGAATTTTATCAAATGAGGTTTCGCCATCAAACTTATGTTGGTTGATGTTTCACCACTGGGTGTTATCTTCAATGTGGACGTGAAGGGAGACAGATATCCTGTTTGTACTAATCCATTTTTAATTTTCTACTAGGATGTGTTTTGTTGATTTATCCTTTTATTTTCATGTATATTGCTTTAGTTATGGTTGTTGTGCTTTTTTCTCTTAAAGTATTATGTTATGAAATTTCAATCTTCATATTGGTCTTCTTTACTAACACCAATAAGTTGAATGTTAGAACTATCATATCATCATCCAATTCAAAAGGTCATGTTCTAATCTGTTCAAATTATACTTAACAAACATAATTTTATTTGATACATCTTGCAACATAAATAAAATAGCTACTTATTACATCATATTATATTGTTTGATAGTTGGGTACATTAGACGAACTTGCACCAGGAGCTTGATTACCACCGCCACCAAACCAGCTGAAGGACATTTACGATGGTCGTGTCCTGTTTGTGAGCATATGCCACATTTACGCGTATTAACGGTATCACCAACATCCATTTGGTTCTAATATGCGTTCTCTTTGCACTTGCATCTTGTGCAAATAGTCCTTGTTACACAACATTTTAAATGGTTCCGACGGCCATAATGCTCAGCATCCAATGGCTGCAACTGCCCACTATATGTGTTTACGTACGCAGCAACACTATATCGCCTATCAATATAGTTGGTTGCTCCTAAACCAACTTGTTGAAAGCACTCCATGGCATGTGAGCACGACATGTGGTAGATGGTCTATTTCCCACATGAACACAATCTGTTGGCTTCATTTACAGTGTGTAGATTATTCCCCTGGTGTTGACAGATAGCGGTAACTTCAAAAAAAACCTGGTCGTGGTCATACTATATATATGAATGCCAATATGCTCACCTCTTGTATTTCTCAAAATTTCTCATCGGTATTGGCATAAATTCAACACCTATGTCCATCAATTCTGATGCACCTCTATGCCTTTCAACAAACCTCTCCGTCATTTGTTTGAATGTCATCCGGACCATGGCAGTGACGAGCAATCCACGTGCAGACTTCAATAACCGTTGAATGACTCCAACACATTTATAGTTAGGGCTCCCCATCGTCTGTCACCATCAGCATGCAATGTCCACTTGTGAAGCTCATGTCGTATCAACCAATTATAGGATCTTTCGTGTAACTGTCGGATCGATTCCTTGTGCATCCTAAATTTGCACTGCTGGTGATCAGTTGCAGCCATCCACATTAAATCATGCAAGTCCTTGTTGGGATATTTCTTCTGGAAATTGGCCTTCAGGTGCCTCATACGGTAACTGTGGTATGCATAGGGTTCTTGCCATTCAGGCAAATATTATAAAGAACTTAAAATACGACCATGCCGATAAGATATTAGATAAATACATAAACGTTATTTGATAATGTGCTACTTCAAGTGGTTAAAAATACCGTCCACGTCTCTTCGCTTTCATTGGAACAAATAACAAAAGCTAGTGGAAATATTTGTCCATTGGCATCTACTGCAACGACGATCAACAGCTTAATATCATACTTTCCGTAGACATGAGTAACGTCTATGGAAATTACAGGATGACAATGCACAAAACTATCAATTACTGGTTTAAATGCCCAAAACACATATCTGAATATATATTTCGGTATTCCCGAACTCTGCTCATGCTTCTATTCAACAATTGTCCCGGGATTAAATTGTATCAGCGCGGCCATGTACCTGGGTAGAGATGAAAATGACTTATCCTAGTTACCATAAATAATTTCAAATGCACGTTTGCGCCTGAGATATACCTTTCTTTTAGTAATAGTACACTCATATTCCTGGTGGATGGATGTAATACACTCTTTGATCTTGTACTTAATGGACACTTCCAAGTGTGGAATCAAGACAAGAGAAATCAAGTCAATATCCAAGTTGAAGTGATTCTCATTGAATGTGTCCATTTCACAAACGTGGGTGCTAATATATTTACCCACTTTCTACAACCACGTTTCCTTCTCATGCAACATTCAGTTACAATCCATAAAGTATCTACGACATACGACCTTGTATACCTCCGGAGTTGACTCCCATATTATCATCGCACGAGACTCTCTACACTGTACATTTTACAAGCCTTGGATATGCGAGCTTTATCGGAAAAAGTACATGCTATTTGCCAGTACCGTTGGTCTAGACTGATCCTACATTGTTGATCGAATTTTGTCAATATCCCTTATTAGGGCATCCATATCCGGCATACTTGGCAAATTATCAAGGTAGGGAATATGCCTCGAATGAAACAGTTTGTGGGACTTGTACACTCTTGGTCTAACGGGAGGTGGAGGAGCATCCTCCCTCGTCAGCTCAAGTTCGATATTCACTTCCTCCTCATCATCACCCTCGTCGGGGAAGGGTCTGTCATCTCCAAACTCATTGGCATTATTGTCAAAATTACTATTATTTTCCTGACTTTGTGCATCTGCCAAATCCCGAGTAATTACGTCGTCTACGGGAAACTGAGTGAGGTCAGGACCATCAAGTTGCTCGTTTTCACTGCACAAATAACAAAATAATAAGCTACTCAACTTGATAAATATTTTACATATAGCTATATCACTTCACTTACAAGTCGTACTGTGTTGACATTCTATGATTGACATTTTTCTGTTGGTGATGACTCCCCAATGGACCACTATGATCCAACACGCCAAAACTACGCATATTCCAACTGGGCATGGGGTAATAACTTGTAAAATTCATATCTGGACGGTAACTCCTGTGGAATATTGGAGTGTTAATACAAATTCATTTCAGCAAAAAATAAACATCGTAACACAAAGAAAAATTGAAGTTTACCGGTCGTCTTATGGATTACGTAAAGTAGGAGAGAAATTATTTTCTCGCTCATCGTTCGCCTGCGGAGCTAAGTTTAGATCCGGCCAAACTCTTTCAGCCGGAAGCTATTGGGCTAAAAATGTTCCAGAATAACCACCTGATGATTGAGGGTTATCTTTGCTTTGCATAACCTCATTATTGCGAACGTATTCAACATTGACGTACATTTTCAATAATTTTATCACAATAAATTCCATGTATTCATCCGGAGTCCCAGAAAAATCTCTTAGAGTTTCATCGTCCTCGATGTTAAACTCAGCGTAACAAGCAATCCCTTGCGGAGTCACAGAATACATATCTTCCGGTTATTTAAGATTCACCAAACGTTTGCTCAACCTCATTTTAATGCATAACAATGATACACGTCTATCATACTACATTGTAAGTGGAAACTTAACATGACTATATGGAGATAAATTATAGCTCACTGAGTCATTCACCACCATAACCTCACCCTCACCTCCCCCCTCCAATATAATGAAACTCTTACTTTTTGCTCTTCAGACATTATGAAAAATGCTTGAGAATTTAACAACAAGAAATATTTATCACGAAGTTGGAGTATTTCTGAATGATAATTCTCAAAACTCTTAACACATATATATAGGGCAATGCCCAATCCGGGGGTCAAATTTTTGGAAGTAAAACGCGGTTTAAAAGGGCATTTTACATATTTAAATTATTATTATGTCAGTTAAGCACAGAAAATGTGGGCCCACAAAATATGTAAAATGCGGTTCATTACTGTATTTTATATAAAGTGCAGTAATAAACCGTATTTAATATAGCAGTCTTATTAGCTTTATATAAAACATAGTTATAAACTGCATTTTACACGGACCGTTAAGGTAAAATATGGTTCATAATCGTATTTTACATAGTAATGTAACCTTTTTTTACACTTAAAAGAGTATTTTGAGTCCAAATAATAACAACAATCATAATTCAATATAATTTTACAAATGAGATTTGGGGAGGTTACTATGTATGTAGACCTTAACCCTGCGAGCGAGGGACACCAGACTGTTTTCAAAAAACACCACATCTTTATCAACCAAAAAGAAAAGAAAAAAAGAAAAAAAAAACACCTCTGCCGGTAGTATTCAAGAGCCCTCACAATCCTAACAATTCCCAACCCTCACAAATGGCGATCGCTAATTTACAAAGATTAGCCTCCCAAATCGTCCGAAACCCGTCTCTTTCCTCCACCTTCAGAACCTCAATCACTCGCTCTTCCGCCACGTCATCATCCCCCTCCCGCTCCGCCTCCGCCAAAGTCGCTGATCGGATCGTCAAGCTCTCCGCCGTGGACCCAGACGGCCACAAACGCGAAATTATCGGGCTGTCGGGTCAAACACTACTCAAAGCCCTAACGAATCACGGGTTGATTGACCCGGATTCGCACCGGCTCGAAGATATCGACGCTTGTTCAGCTGAATGTGAGGTTCACATTGCTCAGGAATGGCTCGAGAAGCTTCCACCGGCCACGTATGACGAGCAGTATGTACTGAAGAGGAATTCTAGGGCTAGGGTTTTGAATAAGCATTCGAGGCTTGGTTGTCAGGTTGTGCTTTCGCCCGAGCTTCAAGGTATGGTTGTTGCTATTCCTGAACCTAAGCCTTGGGATATTCCGTAAGTAAAGTTGCACTGGAAATTTCTGTAAGGTTTCGAGCAATGAGATTTTAGTGTTTTCAGATAATAATTTGCGGAGCGTTAATTTTCGGTTTGACATCTGGTGAACATGTTTTGGATATTTTGTGTGACATGATGTGTAAGGTTTTGAGCAATGAAATTTTAGTGTTATGAGATAATAATTTGCGGAACATTATGGTACTTGATAATGTTTTGAATATTTCGTGTGACACGACATGTCAACATTGTCTGAAGGTTAGCAACTTTGGTTGCCTGAAATTAATGTATTTCAGTTCCTGTTGGATTTTTCTTTATAGCTCCTATGCAATCACATATTTTGAAGGTTTTCGTGTTTATGTCTTCATGAGGATGTGTTTGCTGAAGTACTTGATAAAGTAATGGGTATGTTGAATTTAATAAGAACGTTTTTCAATTTAAAATCAATACACCTTTGTTGCCCAAGGTCAAGAGAAAAATCCCTATGTCACTTCTGGTGATTGTATTCTATCGTACAATATGTGGAACCAAGAAATATCCGAGGGCAAACTAGTGCATGTTTCGGAACTTGGTGATGATGAACGCACCCCTGAAACTGTTATTAGGCTCAAGAACAGAATGCTCGAAGTAGCAAAAATAATCCCGGGGACAAGAAAGACTTCAAGGTTTCACTTATTGATGTTTGCTCACCAATGCTATATAACAAAATCTATTATATATATGCGTAGAGAAGGAATTGATAGAACTCCAGATAAAGATACTTTTTGTTATTTGGGCTACATGTGTACGAAGAACCTGAGTTCACAACAGTTTAATTGTTAGAAGTCGGCTTTGGCATTAGTGACCCCAAAGATATTTCTTAGGAATTAGTATCAGCTAGTTCAGGGGTTGGCCTGGTAGCAATTGACTTGAGCCTTGGGGTTTGCTCTCTTTCAAGGTCTCAAGTTCGAAATTTACTGGGTGAAAACAATTTCTGAGGGCCATCTGACTGGGTAAAACATGAATTAACCGTGGTACACTTGCGGGAAACTCCTTGCCGAGGGCCTGTGCACCCCCGGGATTAGTCGGATTTCTTAGAGACTCGGACAGCCGGTGCAAATAAAAAAAAAAGGATCAGTTAGTTCAAACTATATCTACCCAAAGTTGCTTTAACATAATCTCCCACTTGGCCCTTGTACATAGAAGCGTTTGTAGATTACTCTCCAATCAAGAGGGTTTTGATATATATAAGTGAAAAAGAAAGTATCTGTTTAATTCTGTTTCTTGGTAGAGATCTTTGCGATAAAAGAGAGTCTGAAGCCTTATTATGCAAATCAAAGGGCGATAATTCCCATTCATCTGCAATAGTAGTATTTGGTAACCGGTATCAACATGATCTTTGCTAAAACCTTCCAAACTTAGCTATTTACAATTATCTCTTAATGAGTGATTGCGCAAAATCTTCTATGGTGGGTGGAAATTATATACCTGTGTCAAAAGTGAATTAATTGGTATATGAAAGTGTTAAAAGAAAAGGAAATGTAGCCTTTATGAAAGAAGTAAAGCGACAACTATGATGCAACTGAGTAAGCAATAAGCACTACGAAAGCTTTAAGAGAAGAGAGTACTGCAATAGCAGAGGTCTTTCTTCAGAAAACATTTATGATGGAAAATTATTTCCGAACATTAACTGGTGTTCGGCTGGGCATTAGTATATGTAGATAGTAATAATAGAATGTGGGGAATGAAATAGGGAATGTTGTTTTAAAAAAAATTGAGTAGTAAAAGGTTGACAACATCTACATGTTAAGAGTCCGGATCTTGACAGAGGTAAAAAAAAGTTTAGGTTACTTTTTGCCCATCTTCATAAGCCTAGATAGTAGAGTTGCCCATTACATATGATGATGGAACAATACAGGCAACAGTGGAATAGTCGAGGTGTGCATGTTGGTCTAGACGCCACCACTATTAATTAATGTCTACATGATTGAAACAAGTGACACGGAGCAGGAGCATGAAAGATATCGGTGATGAATAATCACGTGAGTCATTTTCTAAATACACTCTAGGAGGAGAGTTGGCTAAAGTTCTGAAGAACCCAAACTTTTAATAAGATTCTAATATGAAGAAGTATAAACTTTACTTCTACAACATTAAACAAAAATAAGCTGCTTCCTGTATTAACAGATTGACGTGTTGCCTAGTTATATAGCAAGTCCGTGCTGCCTTTTTTGACATAAAGAGAAACTCTGATAATTCACTAAAACCTTTATACATTTTGAACTTGACCCTGATGAGTGATAGCAAAGTACTTATCACATATATCTGGGAAGAGCTTTGTAGCTCCTGATCAGCTTTCCAGGTGGGTCAGAGGTATGGCTGTCTCCCTGGACAAAAAAGCCTCTGATATTCTCCAATACATGGATGCAATTTGATTGTCTAGACTCAACAATTTCAACATGTTCTTTACTCATCGGTATTGGAGGAGCTATGCTATCTTCTAAGTTGTCTTCTGAACATGGTCAGCAATAAGGTCTTTTATCATGGTGGTCGATAGTTTATTTTCCTAAGCAATTAGTGCATACACCATGTTTTTCCTACCTGTTGCTACTTCCAATTGCTTCATAGTTTGCAAATTTAGTGAAGTTATGGCCTTTGGCTTCGCCTTGCTATATTTCTTGAGTTCTTCCATCGGCATGGGCTTCAAGAGATCTTTCTCAGTGCCAAACAAATATTTATTGGTGTTACTTTTGCTACAATGATGAGCATCTCTATTATGTAGCCGAGGGGGATCAAGGAGGAGGTATATTACTTTCTTGGACACCATGTACGTCATCCTTATAAATGGCATAAGCAGTTGAAGTGCACATCTATTATTAGGAATTGTCTTATATGGCCATGCAAACTTGTGGGGTTGTATATGTGATTCATCTTGGAAATCTTGGTGATTGAGGGTTGATTGAGATATAAGGTTCATGCATCTTATGCCAGGAAAAAAAAAAGCAGTACATAATCGTCCTTTCTTAGCATCCACTTTTGGAGTGGCTAACAGATATTATACCAAAAAATGTTGTTTGTAATCCTCTGTCATTTTTAAATTCTCCAACTCATTTTCCAGGGTGCTTTATTGTATCTGTTTGTCTGTTCATTCATTTCTCCATTGCTAAGATAGCTAATATGCAGACTCTGGGGGAGGAGGTGGGGCATTGAAAAGAGTAAGCACAGTCTAGCTCCATAGTTGAGCATTTTCCTTTTTTGCTTGACTCGTTGTTCTAGCAGTCCCCTTACAGTTAGAAGTAGCCATCAAGAATGGGTTCTGTCTTCCTGGGCTGTTGGCTCAGACTGTTTGATTTTGTCCGCCTTTATAGCCATTTGCACAGATTGGAAAAAATATTGGTCGAAGTGAATGTTGTTTTTATTGACTTTGGGTGAGGAACATGCCAAAAAGTGGTGGATTACCTATTTCATTTGTTTGCTGTCGGATGGTTTAAGGGCATTTCTCATACGAGTTTTGAATGAATTGGAAGTACTTGGGATTCTCAATCTCTTGCTTCAAGATCTGGGTCGAGTTTGTGAGTTGTAAACAAGGAAAGATGAATCGAACCCAGCAATTTGGAGATACTGTATGCACTGGGAATAGATGATAAAAAAGTGAATGTTCCAATTGAATGAAGGAGATGAGATAAGCAAGATGTTCTCTTTTAATGCCCAGATGGTCTCAATATCGAGGAACCGCAAGATATTTGCTGGTGCTGACTTATAACGGGTGACAGAATAAGGCGGCCACAAGCGCATGAATTGGTGCTTACAAGTTCACTAGCTTGAATCTTCTATTAAGAAGATGATTCTAGTTCTTTGATTGAGTGTAGATCACTATAGATACATGATGCATTCTACATCCTTTCTGATTGTCGATGGTGGAGCATTTTAAAGTGGAAATCTGCAGTTTGAAGGATACAACAGATTTTTTTTTATGGCCAATAACAACAATATACCCAGTATAATTTCACACTTGGGGTATGGGAAGGGTAATGTGTATGCAGACCTTACCCCTACCTGGAGAGGTAGAGAGGCCATTTTCGATAGACCCTCGGCTTTTTATGGCTAAAAGAAACAAGAATAACCACTCAAGACTAGAAAACAAGTTCATATTCATCTCAAGGGTGTGTCTACGATCAATGGAGTGGGTGAAAGTCATACAAGATTAGCGTTCAAATTCTAGCGGAGACATAATACAACTTGGATATTTTCTTTCATCCGCCTAAGTATTGTTGAGTGAAGTTATCGTGTTTAGCAGGTACTCCAAGGAATAGTTGAGATTTGTGCAAGCTTGCTTGAACGTTACACAATATTGGTAACTTCGTCCTAGTTGATCATTGAATACGGATTGGTATACAGACACCTTATTGGAAACTGCTGGAACTGTACTCACCGCTAGAGCAACCCACTCTTGTGATGCTAAAATATAACTACAGTTGACTGCATGTATTTCTATAAACCACTTTCTTCCTTCCTGCTTGATACTTACAAATTGCTTCTCAGATAACAAATTGTTTTATAATTGGCCTTTTATTATTTACCCCTTTTCCTCACTGTTGCTGGATCAAGTTTGCACATCTAAGGCAGCTGTTAGTACTGTGACTTGTAATCAATATATACATTTTATCTGCATCTTTCAGATGCTAAAGGACCCAGAAAAGGAAAAATGTTTCAGGAGTATCATCTCAGCTGTTAAACAAATACAGGGGCGGCTCAAGTATATGGAAGGCCTAAAGCCAAATTTAATATGAGGCCTAAATTTTTAAATAACATTATAATATATATTTTTATTTGAAGTCTATTTTTCTAACTTTTTGAGATACAAAGTGTTAATAATTCTTTTATAGTCGATTTTCCCTGATAATTCATTTTTAATTAATAATATTGCCAACTCATTTAATCTTGCTTAATATTTTTTTTTATTTTAGATATGATTTTATAGAGCAATAGAAGTATGGAACTATTGGAAGTTTAAATTTCTTGGAGAAAGAAGGTGAGTAAGAACATTAAAGAGAAAGACTGAAAATATGTAGGAGGTTTTGAAATATGAAGAAATTTGGAAAAGAAAAATTGACTTGGACAAATTAAGAAAGGGAGAGTAAAATTTTTACGCATTACCTAATGAGTAAGAAGGGAAAAATTAAAACATTGGGAAAACTATTCATCTACCCATATTTAAATAGGTCAAATTATTACTTTATTCATGTATCTAAAGAGCTTTCTTTCCTTTTATATTAAAAACTCTACTTTTGTATTAAAAGTATGGAAAAGGGTTCAAAATGCCCTAAACTATTAGAAAAGGTTTAAAAATACCCTTCATCTACCTATTGGGCTAAAAATACCTCTTCATCTACCTTTTTGAGTTACTTATGCCATTTGACCGTTAGATCAATGCTGAATTAAAAATAATTACTTAAAAAAAATATTTTGCAAAATATTTTTATTTTTTAAACTAATGCACTAGTAGTTCACTAATTTAGTAAAGCCTTCTTCTTCTTCTTTTTCAGTTTTGACAAAAAACAATTCAGTTTTTACAAAAAAAAAATTATTTTTTTCAGTTTTTTAAAGCATTTTTTTTGTAAAAACTGAATTTTTTTTGTAAAACAGGAAAAAAAATTGTTTCTAATAAAATATTTTCGTTTTTTAAAAACTGAAAAAAAAATTATTTTCGTTTTTCAAACATTTTTTTTCTGTTTTTTTAAAAGCTTTTTTTTTATAAAAACTGAAAAAAAATTTTAAAAGCTGAAAAAATATTTGTTTTTTCAGTTTTTTTAAAAAAGAAATATTTTTGTTAAAAACAATTTTTTTCCTGTTTTTACAAAAAAATAGCTTTTACAAAAAAACAAGCTTTAAAAAAACTGTAAACAAATGAAAACAAAATATTTTTTTGTAAAAACTGAATTGTTTTTGTAAAACAGGAAAAAAAATTGTTTCTAATAAAATATTTTCGTTTTTTAAAAACTGAAAAAAAAAATTTTCGTTTTTCAAACATTTTTTTTCTGTTTTTTTAAAAGCTTTTTTTTATAAAAACTGAAAAAAAAATTTAAAAGCTGAAAAAATATTTGTTTTTTCAGTTTTTTAAAAAAAGAAATATTTTTGTTAAAAATAATTTTTTCCCTGTTTTTACAAAAAAAATAGCTTTTACAAAAAAAAAGCTTTAAAAAAACTGTAAACAAATGAAAACAAAATATTTTTTTGTAAAAACTGAATTGTTTTTGTAAAAACCGAAAAAAAAAAGATTACTAAATTAGTGGACTACTAGTACATAGTACATTAGTTTAAAAAAACAAAAATATTTTGTAAAATATTTTTTTAAGTAATTATTTTTAATTTAGCATTGATCTAACGGTCAAAAGGCATAAGTGAACCAAAAAGGTGGATGGTTGGTTATTTTTAGTCCAATAGGTGAATGAATGATATTTTTAAATCTTTTTCAATAGTTTAGGAGTATTTTGAACCCTTTTTCCGTTAAAAATATTATATATTATTTTTTAAATACCTATAAATTCATTATTTTTAAAAAATAGAGGCCCCAAAATTTGGGGGCTTAAGACACAAGCATTGCTACTCAACACATTAGAGCTGGCCCTGAACAAATATACAACATCCATACTCCATTTTACGTTCCAAGAATGGTGTGTATGACAACATTGGCATGACATATATAAGACTTTCGAAAAATTTTATTTTGTGCCTCGCACATCTAATGCTAGTTGTATAATATATTTTTTTTGTCTCACAACTACGTGGTTTCATAATTTTATAGACTCAAATATATAAGATATGAGTCTACAAATGTGTGAGATAGAAAAATATCTCACGCGACTAATATTAATTATGTGAGGCACACCATAAAATCACTCCTTGTTGGAATCTTTAGCTCGTTGCATAGACTCCACTCTTTCTTGTTCTTAAGGGTCCGTTAATCTCTGAACTGCCTTTAATTTCAATCTCAAAATTTTCAAATATATAGTATTCCCTTCGTTCCAATTTATATGAACTCATTTGACTGGGCACGGAGTTTAAGAAAAAAGGGAAAACTTTTGAATTTGTGGTGTAAATGAAGCACATATATTTTGTGTGGCTATAAATCATTGCATAAAAATAAATTGTATTCAAATAGGGAAAGAGGTCATTCTCTTTTGCACGAATTAAAAGGAAAATAGGTTCACATAAATTGAAACGGAGGAAGTAGTACATTTTGAACCAAGAATTTCTGACTTGTCATCATATCAAACACCTTTTTTGAAACAGCCTTGATGATGAAGCAAAGATTTTCTTGTTGAAAGGAAGACTTTAAAAAGTGCACCAGAAATGCCCTTGGGACTGACAATACATCTTATGGTTAAAGAAGAAATAAAGCTGCTCTCGAAGTGACTGGCCATGGTGGAAGAAGCAGTGGCCATTTGGCAAGTTTTGTTACATATCCTCTGGTCTGAATTAAGTGGTCTTGAAATGCAACAAAAGATGCATTAGAGAGTAGTAGAGGGAAATGAAGAGCATCATGAGTAGGCCAATAATATTATTTGCAATGTCCTTCCTGGCCTGTTATTTGAGTTGATGGAACCAAAGACGTTGACGATCGACTCCTTCCGGAGGGAGCTGTTGCCGACCCTTACACCATAAAAAGAAAATCAGTTTCCGATCGGACAGAAGAAGCAATTAGAGTTGATTTTTTTGTTAGACCGACACTCAATACCCAGTTGCGAGCAATAGCGTCTTACACTTTCCAAAAGACCAATACACAAGTGATTCACCATAGTCTAATCGATTGAGGTGTGGTTCTGAGGTAGAAAGTTCTTATATACCTGGGGCCTTCTCATTTAGCAGGGATAGAGATGGTTGGTGGTTATTTGGGGTAAAATAAATTTATGGAGTTGCCTTTAGAGGGTAACAAGGAGCATATTTTGGATGCTAATTGGCTATACTGATTTATGATGAACCAATATATTTACCATTCGCTTCTCAACTTTTTTTCATTGGCAAAGTAGAACAACTGGAAAATAATAAAATTTACCACTTTATATTACCTTAAAATTAAGTTATATCCACCGTATTAGAGAAAAGTTTTTTAATTGCTCTGTGTAAATTGACTGCCTCCAATATTTTTTTCGTCGTCTTTTCAAACTATCAGATCATATTAGGTATAAGTTATTAGCTTTCAAGTGATTTACTTCAAACAAGCAGCATATGAGAATAACCAAATATCAAGAAATGACCGAGAAATATATATAATAACATAAACGACAGTGCATACTGCATATATTAAAAGATTACAGTATCAGCTGTTACATCAGAATAAAAGTTAACAAGGCTACTTCAGTACTAGTTAAGCAAAGGGTTAACACTAACAGCTAAACGGATATTTAGCAAAGTTAACTGATCAGTGCAGGTAAGTAGCCTGGTAATGGTAGCCATTTCCAAAGAAGTTGCCATGCCCAGGAGGAAGGCTGTAGGGGGTACCAAGGAATGATGGGACGTGGGTGTCGGTTGGTATGGGGTAAGCATATGGTCGGTCATACATGTAGTGAGGATACCTATCGGTCATTCTACTACCATAGAAGTTCTTGTCAGTGGCAACGTTAGCGACTCGAGCTGCTCCATTTCCTACACAATTGGCACGAGGTCTCTTGGGTTGAGGTTTGGCAACTTCAGTTGCCCTTTTCTTGTCGGCTTTTTCTTTCTCCAGCTGGAGAACCCTTTTTTGGAGAGGATCCACGGGGTACTGCGCGTCAAGCTTATGTTCTTCAATGCATTTAATCACAGCCTTCAGCGCAGTCAGCTGTTTCTCATTGACATCATTCTGGAAAAAAGAAGATATTTCATTGTTGGTATGTAAAAAGAGTTGCTTTCGAAATTAAGGAGAGGTAATTGTAAACAGAAGAGCATCAACTGTGAATAACTCCAGCTGACCAGCATTTTTCCTCCAACCCAAGGGAACTAAGAGGAGAAAGGGATTCTTGCACACAAAGAGCAAGAGCAATACAGTCAAAATTAGTGAATTTCAAAAAATAACAAGGCACAGAGTAAAAACCTGTGGAGTAGGTGATGCATTTCCAGATTTGACAGGTGAAGATACTTTGCTTGCTTCATTCAAGTAGGATTTTAGTAGTGAAACAGGTGAAAACTGGTCGGTCAGCTCGAAAGCAAAAGCTAGATTAACAGCATCTATATGTCTTCCATTACTAACCAACACGTTAATAACACCTGTAGAAATGAAAGCAGAAACCAAACAAAAGTGTTAGAATCTGAAGAATATGAGCCGACCTGAACTCCTAGACCCATATCAGCAAATGACGGGAAATACTGCTCCATAGTAGTAAAAGGCTAAAAATACACAATTATACCCTGCCATTGTGATACAGTTTTAGATGTGCGTGCATGTGTATTACATGTAGATCTCTTGGGGCATGACATGAGATTGCACGACTTTCCAAACTACTATAGGAAGAAGAATAAGAGAGGAATAGAAGTAGATTATAACGAATTTCTTACCAGGTCAATACCAAAATTTCCCAAAATTAGAAAACCTTTTGGTTAATGATGCATTGAATTTAGTACTATAATACAAAGAAGAATACATCATAACCTAGCTAGTAGACAAAAAGATGAACCGCGCCACAATTCTTATGGCATGTACCTAATTTTCAATGTCCAAGAAAAAGAGTTCAACAAAATCTTAAGCAATCCTAACAGGAGATAGTTTTTTGATTTCCTCCATCACCAAAGAGATTGTCCTAGTTTGCTTCCCTAGAGGCAAAACACAACAATTTTTTGTTTTAAACTGCATAAGTTTGCAACATGTACTTCAGCTAGCTTTTAAAAGTATATCACAATTTGTCTCTAATTTCTAGCTAAAATTTGTCAAACTGAAACCCCTCACAAAAACCTACAAGACTGGAATAAGATTGGAATAGACGAATTAAGGAAGTAACATATGAAGCTAGAAAGATGAAGTGACTCAGAGTACTAGACGAGAGATTCATGCTTATTGGCATCTCCCATTTAGAGGCAAATTTCACGTCAGCATGCGAACACCAGAGTCCAAATTAATCTTTGATAAGGCCTATAACCCTCTAACAATCCAAGAATCTTCAATGGTGGAGAGAAACGAAATACATTGATTTTAACTTTTCCAAATAACGATACCCTTTGACCAGTCAAAGAACGCAGAAAAGGGAGAGAAGAAAAATAAAACGGAACCAAAAATAGAAAAAAGAGGTTAAAGTTTTTGAGGAAGTCATCGAAAATATAAGAATATAAAATCCTCGAAACCATTGACTCAGGTATTTCCAAAAACCAACCTGGCATTCTCTCAGACAGTCCAAGGGAACGACAGAGATCAGCTGTTTGGCGACGACGAGAAACCATCGGTATCAGCTTGTACAGGTCTTCCTGGTTAAAGTTGGAGTTAATACCGAAGGTAGCTAGAAGTTGTAAGAATGCATGAGCCTCCAAGGAATTCCCATTATTTGCATCAGCGTCAAGCTCATCTAGCTTTGGTTTCCACTCCTTAGCAATTGCTTTTGCACGTTCCTTTACACTTCCTGATATTAAACATGAACTAGAATCCACTTCCAGGGTCGTTAATAAAATGCTAAGGCATTCCATCAGCATAATACAAGTTCGGCGAAGACCTAAAAGATTTGCATCTTTTTTAGCATCTGAAATTGACACTTCAGACGGGTAGAAACCCTTGAGTGAGTCCAGAACCAAAAAGGCAGGATCAACAGCAGCTCTTAAAGCAGGTGGAATTTCTTCTCTTACTGCAGCCAAGTTCTTGCGATTGTCTGATATAAATTTGTGAAGGCCTTCTGAGTCCATGTCTTGGCATAACTTCACTAACTCTGGATAAAACTTGACTTCCCCAACATCATTCTTAAAAGGCTTGATATGATCCTCTGTATTATTATTCTCAAGTGGTATGAAATCAAGGGGCTTTGCTTCAAACATAGACGGCCCACCTTGCACCTCACAAGAAGGTTCCACAGAATACGGCTTCCTATGCTTCTCAAGAGCAATAGTAATGGCAGAAACTGCTGCATCTCTTTTCTCTTGGAGACTCTCAAGTGAAGCTTGCTCCTTAGAGATAACAGCTGCTTGACGCTTCTCCAAAATCTTTCTAGATTGAACTATTTTTGTTTCAAACTCTTTCTCTTGATCTTCCAGTTCAGTGAAACGCCTCTTCAAGGACTTCTCAAGCCCATGAAAATGCTCTTCAAGCTGCTTCCATTTCAGGTTTAGCGTAACAGCACGATGACTTTCCAACTCAGCAAATGCTTTCTGTAGCTGCTGTATCTTCGAGGTTGTGGAGTCCATCAGTGTCGTAACTGATTGTGTATCTTCCATGGTAGAAATTCCTTAAAATAATATCAAACTTCAGTATGAAAAGTTTAAGAGATAAAATGTATGAAGCAACAAAAAGCTCTCTTGTGAACCGAAAGAACTCCAAAAAATTTATTCTACGCTTTGCAGCATAATCTCTAGACAATTTATTGAAAGAGATGATATATATTCCCATACGTCTGAATTTACAGGTAACATATATCTATCAAGAATAATAAAGAAACAAACAAACAGTTGAAAATTGGTTTTGTTATTAGAGCTAGAATATCAATTATATGAATTCTCCATATCCATTCCATTCTATTCAGTCAATACCATTTTAGCACTGATAAATAACTTGTATTTATAACAAATACTTCTTCCGCCTCATTTTATGTGGCGGTATTCGATTGACCATGAAGCTTCAGAGGAAAGAAAGATCCTTGGAACTTGTAGTCTAAAACATGTCACAAACATTTCTATTTACACAAATTATATCATTATGAGAAATTTAAATTTAAGTTGTTTCTAAATATAAAAAGGTATATCATTCTTTTTGGGACAGTCTAAACAGGAAAGCCTAACACATAAAATGGGACTGAGAGAGCAAAAACCTCACTAATTATCCATACCTCTTTAAAGAGTAGAAAGATTCTCCGCAAATAATGGACATAATAATGAAAAGGATAATTTTGAAAAAAAAAATACTCACTTTTAATAAGGCAAAAAAAAACTAGAGGATAATAATAATAATAATAATAATAATAATAATAATAATAAATAAATAATAAGAAAAAAAAGCATAGAAATTAACATCAAGCACAAGGTTAATCACTACACTAAGCAGAGCCAGAGAGCTTCGGTCGCAACATCTACCAGCGAAATATCGCACTCAAATTTCACCAAACACCAAAAAATAACATCCAGATCGCAAAAACAAAAAAAGCAGCAAAGGGAAAAGAAGTCCAAAACTACCACAATGGAACGACTAACAAAGCTAACTACAAAGTGCACGTAGCTAAAATGAACACTCAAAGCCGCAAACTTAGTAAATTACAGCTAAACAAAGCAATTTATTGACAAGCAAAGACTTGATCTGAAGATACTAGAGAGAAAGTGACTGAAAAAGAAAGAGAAATTCAAAGTCAGAGAGCTTACAGTACCGGCGGTGAGAAATGAAGTGTCGGCGGCAGCAATTTCGCCGGAGAAATTAGGCCATTTTTGGGTGATTGAGGATTTTATGGTTGCGAGCGAATCCCTAAAAGAGAGAGAGAAAAGAGGAAAGTAAGAGAGAGAAAAGAAGAATGTTGACGACTGCTATTTACGACAGCTTCTGACATATACCACTCAAACACATGCAGACACACTACATAAACCACGCACACACACACTCTCTTCACTTTGCTTTTTCCCTAAAACACTCTCCATTTTGCTATTAACACACCAAGATATAGAGCCCAAACACGTTTGAACATAAATTTTTTTTTTCTTTTTCCCGAAATCAGTATTTAGTTATAAAAAATTTTATTTTTATTTAAAGATACATTATAAAATTTTAAAAAATTCTAAAAAACTATTTTTTAATATTTCAAATCACTTACAAAACTTCAAAAATAACTAACACTATAACCACTGACTCGACCAATTTAGGAACTTCTTTTTCTAAATATGTTTGTCTATGTAATTTTGTAAGTTTTTGAAAAAAAATTCGAAAATGAATTTTTCAAAAATCATAAAGTGATTTTGACAACTTTTTCAAAATTTTCAGAAATTATTATTTTTGCACTCACAAAATTACAATATTTTTTTCAAGTGAAATGTATGTCCAAATATAATTTCAAACTCCAAATAATATTTTTCAACTTAACTCTAAATATTTTTTTTTTCAATAATTACAATTTTTATGTCCAAACGCCTACTTAAATTCCGCACTTATTAGCAATTTTTTCTATTTTAAAGGCTCGAAGAAAAATATCTCTAATTAAAAAAGAAGATTTCATTCGCCGTGTGCTCGTTGATGGGTTGGGATATATTATGCAAACATTAAAGTACAAGAATTATAACAAAACAATAATAATTGTACGTTTAATTCTCTATGACACTTCAGTTATCTGGAAAATATTGTTCTATTAATATTTTTCTTCCTTATTTGTCTATTTTCTGTTGTTGTTAAAGATTTTTTGTTTTTGAGCGGAGGGTTTCCGGAAAACAATCTCTTTACCCTTCGGGGATAGGAGTAAGATCTGCGTATACTCTACTATTCCCAGACTCCACTAGTAGAACTATTATTGGGTTGATGTTATTGTTGTAATATTTTTTTCTTCCAATTTATATGATACTCATTTTAATTAAAAATGTTCCAAATATTTAATATCATTTGAATTTGTATAACTTCATAATGTTCTACAATTTAAATTTCTTTAAGCTATAAAAAGTTTAAGTTTTGATGATTTTTTATTAATCAATCTACATTATTAACTTTTTAACATTGTTTTTACTCGCTGAAATTAAATATACATCAAATAAACACTTGAAATTCTATATTGGTATATAAAATTGGACTAATGGAGTGCTATTAGTATATACAACTTTTACTACTCCATTTAGAACCTGTTTGGCTGGCTGATTTAAAGTAGTTAATAAGCAATAAATGTTGAAAAATACATTAAAGTAATTGAAATTGATTTAATAAATAAGTAGTTATGTATTTGGATAAAAGTGATGAAATTGATAATAATCAGTTAAAATGTGAACTGTTTGATAATAAGCACGTTTTTGTTAAAAATAACTTAAATTTCTTAACGATCTTTTTACACTAATTAACGACATTATTATTACTAGATTCTAAATCTTGATTGATTTTAAATTCATTTAATTATATAAATTTTGATTTTGATATTTCATTAAACAAAACAAAACATAATTTATTAACCCGGTACCTTGCTCCCTTTATCAATATTTTTCTATTACCAAACCAAGGCGATATTGGGATTGGTTTCCACGGGCCAAACAGAAACACTCGAGTTTCCTGGAATTTGAAATCAGAATCCAAGAATGTTCATTTGATTGTCAACATTATCCACATCTTGCTTTTTTCTTTTTCTTTTGTTTTTTCTTTTTTTTTTTCTTTTTGGATGAAAATATGCATGTCACTTGTAGTTTCATGAAGGAATTAAATTATAAATATTTGCAATGTATTCTGTATACTAGTAGTGAATTAAATATGTTATATAACTAGTTATAATTTTTACTAGATTATCATTTAATACTTATTATAAAAATCTATAGGTAAGCAAATCAGGATTTAATTTAATAAATTTGACATATGGATCTTAAGGCGTGTAACTCATTTACACTTCTAAAATTACTGTTTAGATATAATATTTATTGAAATTTTGATCTTGAAAACTAGTAGTAGTAATTAAGTCAATAAGAAAATAAGTTGAGTTTAATTCGAAAAGATGCAATGGTAACACAAGACAAGTTTCATTAGTAAGAATACCATAATTAGTTTCTTATTGAGTACATTATGACGCACAATATATTAAGATTTCAGTCATACGAAAAAATATTGAAAGAATAAAACTTTTATAATTACTATTTCATTATGTCTCACTTTATATGGCACAATTTTTATTTGGAGGATTAAAGGAGTTCATCGTTGATCATAACTTTTTTCTTTTTTATTTTGGATTGTTATTAGTGATTTATATTATTTTATAATATAGTTTTTAAATAAGGATGTGGATTTTATAATTAAAACTTTGAAAATTATATGTTTATCCAGAAACAAATTAAACCAGAGACAATCAAATATCATGTTCCACGTGGAGCAAAGTTCACTTAAATAAAGTTGTTGGTTATAAGTTTTCAAAAAAAATAATAGTTAGGTTAGTTCTATTTATAAATTTCAATATTTACTACTTCCTCCGTTACAATTTAAATAGTATAGTTTGACTCGGTACGTAATTTAAAAAAAAAAACTTTAAAACTTATAATCTTAAAAGCTTAAGGGATAAAAGTTTTATGCGGCCATAATATTTATATGGTTATAAAAAATTTCATTAAATATAAAACCGAATAAATTGAAGAGTTTAAAGTTAAATTATTTTTAATTATAAAAATATTTCATTTCTTTTAAACAGATTAATTTGAAAAGCGTGTTATCTAAATTAGTAGAGGGATAGTAACTTAGAGCTTTTTCTTCTTCTTTTTTCAATGGTGTTTCCGGTAAGAGTAATCATAAAGCCTATGCACCATGTCCTTAAAGTCGTGCTAAGCTTTTAAGATAAAGAAATGAATTATATACAGTATCTTTTCAGCATGTTAAATTTCTAGTAATAACCATTGTACTTTTCACATTAAATTTTAATCTTGACACTTTTTAACACTTTAATACTGTCACGATTCGGAGTTTCTATCCTCGAGAGTTGTGATGGCGCCTACTCGTAAAAGTTACGCAAGCCATAAACCTCTTAAGCTATTAACCTTTTTCGTTTTAGTTCACTTTAACCAATTATATTAGCAATGAATAAGCATTTAAAGAACAACGGAAAATAAATTTAGCGAAAGTCTCAGATGAATATAGAAACAAATATCTAGAAAATCAATACAAATCTCAACCTAGCACCTGGTGTCACAACATCCACAGACTACTAAGAGTTCTAAAAATAGTTGTTTGAAAGAAATAAAACATTGTTTGTCTCGAATACATGAGATAACAGAATGAAACATAAGATAGAGGAGATCTCGGGCCTGCGAACGTCTGCAAGACTACCTCGGAGTCTCGATGGATTGAAGGCTAGCTCCCGAACTAATGTTGTTGTCCAAACGCTGCTCCGGTATCTGCATATAAGTGCAGAGTGTAGCATTAGCACAACCGATCCCATGTGCTGGTAAGTGTCTGGCCTAACCCGGGTGAGGTAGTGACGAGGCTAGGACTAGACTCCAGATAAACATGTACAATTATATAATATATGGCGGAAAAGTAAACAAGTAATAAGCACTTAAAGCCGGGGAAGGGGAACATGCTACACGGGTGGCAGATAAATAGAATATTAAGAACAATCAGGAAAACTGTACTTTAACTTCTAACACGGATAAAGAGAAGTAAAGACAACTTTCACTCTCATTTTCAATCTCGTTGCAGGTGTGCAACCCGATCCCATTTCTCATATCTCGTTATAGGCGTACCACCCGCTCCCATTTCATTATATCTTGTGGTAGGCATATCACCCGATCCCATTTCATCACATCTCGTAGTAGGCGTACCACCTGCTCCCATTTCATCATATCTCGTGGTAGGCATACCACCCATTCCCATTTCATCATATCCCGTAGTAGGCATACCACCCGATCCCATTTCATCATATATCGTGGTACGCGTACCACCCGATCCCATTTCATCATATCTCGTGGTAGGCATTAGGGGTGTGCATTCGAATCGATTTATCGATAAATCGAATCGATTATTTGTTATCGAAATCGAAAAAATCGAAATCTATTGAAACGATAACGATAAGCATATGTACAAATCGATAATCGATAAGCAATTATCGATAAGGGTCAAAATCGAATCAATAAATCGAATGCACACCCTAGACTGTAGACACTTGTTAAATGAGTAATTACCTATTTGTGTAGATTAATATAACATACAGAATGTATATATATTCCGCTACTATTTTGAAAGCGGCTATACAATATTATTTTCCATAATCTATACCCTTTCCTTTACCCTAAGTCCCTTACCCTATTATTTCCTCTACCACATTTAAGGAATGATCATATTTAAAGATCAAGGGAATGAAGTTCAAATTAATAAAAAAACAAAATTAGCCATGATGATGTGTTTTGTTTTATTTTGTTTTTTATACCATTGGAGTGTTGGTGGCATACATTTGATCCCTTACTTTAGTTTTGTTGCATGTGCTTGTTGACATAATTGTTATATTATAAATGGTGTTCGTCTTATTTTAGCTTATTTTTGTCCATATTAGTTAGGCGTTTATAGCGATATACGTTTCGTAGAATCCCGCAAATTTTTCTATTAGTGTAATCGATAACTCGAATCGATAAGCCCCCAAAATCGATAAATCGAAATCGAAAAAATCGAAACCTTATTGAAACGATAACGATAAGCATATGTACAAATCGATAATCGATAAGTAATTATCGATAAGAGTCAAAATCGAATCGATAAATCGAATGCACACCCCTAGTAGGCGTACCACCCGATCCCATTTCATCATATATCATGGTAGGCATACCACCCGATCACATTTCATCATATCTCGTGGTAGGCATACCACCCGATCACATTTCATCATATCTCGTGGTAGGCGTACCACCCAATCCCATTT